CGAGAAGAAGCTGGAGAGAGGGAATTGAAAAAGAACTAGGAGAAAGAGAAATCTCTCCAGGCCTATGGCTAAATAGAGAAAATGCCGGTTAGGAGTCGGAAAGTGTCGGAGAACGCTTTAAACCGATAGTAGTAGTATCACAATATCACAAAATAAAACATAATAAAATATACAACAAAATGATACCCAAATATATTACATAAAATTACTTTGTTGCATGTACCTAACCGTACTGTAATTTGTTAGTAATTCGTTAAGAAACTCCATCGAATAGTATGCTGTTTCAGATAAGCTTCTGCCAATTTATGGAACTTAAGGAAGAAAGTTTTAGATTTAACTTGCAAAGGGAGATAGTTGTATAATTTCTTTACTAACTCAGTTCACAACTGCGGACAACTGCATTGGTGCATTGGTCTGCAGGCTAAACTAAGTGAGGTTAGTTGGATATGGCAAAAATTCCACCGAGCGATTGCCGGTATAAGCAATCCCCCACTTACGGACTAACGGCTTCGGGCGGATGAGTTGGTAGGTGCTAGGGCACTCTTTTGTCCTGAGAAATCGATCTTGAAGGCGGATGAACCAAGGTCAACGCCATAAGGATACAGAAGGCAACGAGGAACCACTGTATTAAAAACTCTTAGAGTACCCCTAGTATAATTCATCATGGTAAAGAATAGCGATTCTTTGGACGTTACTTATCATGGTCATCGGAAACCAAGATGCGACAGGAAGGGAGATTCAATAAGTTACAGGGCTCGTCCGGTTGTCAATCTGCAAATCCCCTGCAAAATGGGGCCACATGAAATGTGAGAACACTATTTGAAGCTGGAAAACTACACAATGCTAGTCAAGAGATGTGTCGGATCAGTATTTTAATACTCAGTGAAGTCAGATGAACAAATGCAGGTCAATGCGTCACCCCAAATGGTACCATATATTTTTCAGGACGAAATGACAATCATCATAATAATGAAGTGGCAATAATGGTCACCAAGGAAGTAAGTAAGTCGATTATAAACTTTGTACCAGTGTCAGATATTTCTACAACTGTCAACCATTCAGGGAAAACTAAATATAGTTCAAATATAATTTCACTATATATCACTTTTCAAATATATATTCATTACAACGGAGAGTAGTGAAGAAGACACAGAATAATTTTATAAAAACATTGAACAAACATTAAAAGTTGTTAACTCTAGAGACATTGCAATATTAATGGGAGATTGGGAGAAATAGGTTGGAAAATATGGTCTCGGTCAAAGAAATGAAAGAAGTGATCGGCTGTTGCAATTTTGCCGGGAAAATAATTTTATAATTAAAAACACATTTTATCAACTACCAAGAAGAGAAGTATACACGTGAAAATCTCCTGGTGACACTAAAGACCATATCAAATAGATTATAAATCAAATAGATTATATAATATATAATACAAAATCAAAAAGATTATATAATCATAAACAACAGATATAAAAACACAATCGAATCTGTGAAATTTAGATTAATAAGTCTTATGAGCCAAGTGCTTAAAATTCTATTAAAAATACTTCACAATAGGGTATACAATAGGTGTGAAAAAGAAGTTGGATACGATCAATTTGGATTCAGAGCCGGAATGGGGACCAGAGAGGCCTTGTTTTCACTACAAGTACTGCTGCTGAAGTGTTACGACCAACAAAAGGATGTCTTTCTATGTTTTGTAGACTTTGAAAAGGCATTTGATCGCGTAAACCATAATAAAATGTTAAATTCCTTGCAGAGCATCAACTTGAATAGTAAAGATCTCCGATTAATTAAGAACTTATATTGGACGCAGAGTGCCAAGATTAGGATCGACGATCATACATCTAGAAATATTAGTATAAATAAAGGAGTAAGGCAAGGATGCATACTATCCCCTATGCTATTCAATCTTTACTCGGAACTACTATTCAAGCAAGCCTTGGAAAACCTTTCCACAGGAATCAAAATTAATGGAGAACCAATATCTAGCATAATATATGCAGATGACACTGTCCTACTGGCTGATACAGACACAAACTTACAGGGAGTTATAGACCACCTCAAGGATACTTGTCGAGAGTTTGGAATGAAGATCAAAGAAAAAAAAAACAAAGGTAATGGTGATCCAAAGAAAACAGAATATCCCCTTACCTATAAAAATAAATGGGAATATTTTAGAACAGGTAAACCAATACAAATACCTTGGCTGTTGGATGAATTGCAAGCTGGACCCAGAACAAGAAATTAAAGCGAGAATTGCTCAAGCTAGGGATAGTTTCTTTAAGATGCGCGTTCTATTCTGCGATACACATATAAATATTAAATTGAGATTAAAACTTGTAAAATATTTTATCTGGTCTGTTCTTCTCTACGGAGTCGAAACGTGGACTTTAAAAATAAAGAGCCTGAATAGAATCGAGGCATTTGAAATGTGGGTGTACCGTAGAATTTTAAAAATTCCTTGGACAGCACGAAAAACAAACGAAGAAGTACTAGCTAGACTCAATGTAGAAAAAGAACTATTGAGAACAGTCAAAAGAAGAAAAACCAGTTATTTAGGGCATTTGTTGCGCAACGAGAAATACTACATCCCTCAGTTGATAATAAAAGGCAAAATAGAAGGAAAGCGAGGAATTGGAAGAAAAAAATTGTCCTGGTTACGTAATATCAGAAACTGGACAGGACTTGGATTTGAGGAACTCTTAAGAGCAGCTGAAGATAGACAAACGTTTGCCACCATATCCGCTAACCTCCATTGATGGAGACGGCACTTGAATAAGAAGAATCTGTGAAAACGTATTCAGAAGCAGATATAGGGTCAGACTACAATGCAGTAGTGGCACAATTCCGAATAAAACTTACAATTTCGAGTACAAACACCTAAGCCCAAACAAGTAATATATATATATATATATATATATATATATATATATATATCAATCGTTTAAATAATGAAACAATTAAACATCAGGTAGAAACAAGCAAACAGGCAAATCTTAAAAAACTTGAAAAGACAGTGAAGATACCAAAGCTAGACATTAATAAACGTTGGGTCATTATTAAAAAGAACGTGCTGAAGCCCGCTAAAAATATTCTGAAGAGAGAAAAACCAAAGAAACAGAAAGAATGAATGAGTGACGAAATTTTGTTATTGATGAATTCTCGAAGACTATCGAAAGGTAAAAATGAAGAACAGTATAAGCAAATTAACACAGAGATCAAAAGAAAAATCCGCGACGCTAAAAAACAATTGTTGCAAGACAAATGTAAGGAGATTGAAAAAATTGGAAGCCAAATATGATTCGTTTTATCTTCATAAGAAAGTTAAAGAAATGATCAACAATAGAAACAGAAAGCAGACAGTACTTATAGACCAACATGGTAATGGAAACAGAGGAGAAACTAAAACATTGGCAGACATACATAGAAGAACTGTTTGACGATCAAAGGCAGCCTCCTTGTGATAATTTTCCAGAGGAAACACGTCCCGAAAAAAGCAAAGAAGAAGTAATGCAAGCGGTGAAGTCATCAAAGAATAGCAAAGCTCTAGGACCAGACGAGCTACCAGCGGATATACTAAAGTTGATAGACGAATATCGAATCCATTTGTTAGCAGACTTATTTAACAAGATTTTTTTTTCTCATTTCTCAAAATAATTCACAATAGAATTTACAGAAAATTGGTAGAAGATATCGGAGAAACTCAGTTTCTATGAGTGCTTATTCACTACTTATTAACAAACGCATTGACAGTAAAATCATTAATATAGTGCAAACATTAGATTGGAACCAAAGTGCCATAGTTCAAATTGATGGGCAACACTCAGGAGGAATGAAGATCTGTAGAGGAGTTAGATAGGAATGTGTTTTATCGCCACTTTTGTTTAACTTATATTCTGAAGAAATTTTTCAAAACACGCTTAATAATACCAAAGCGGGACACCGTTAACGGATAATTAATAAATGACACTGTGATTATAGGAACGAGTATAGAAGATTTACAACATCTTATCGAAAGCTTAAGTATGAATAGTCCTGAGATGGGAATTACTATAAACGCTAAAAAAACGACGTATATGCTAATTACAAAAAGACAACAAAATATACATCACCTATTGACAATCAATGGTAACGTGATAGAACAAGTAGAAAATATCAGTACTTGGAAACTTTGATCAATGAAACCAATGATCATACTGCAGAAATAAACAGGCGAATAGCGATTGCCAGAACAGCGTTCATACGAATAAAGCCACTCCTAACGTGCAAAAATCTAAATTTGAAAATCAGTCTATGTACCATTCGCTGTTATATATTTTCAATATTATTATATGGAGCTGAGACTTGGACATTAAAAAAATGCAATTTAAAAAGAATCGAGGCTTTCGAATTCTGGTTATACCACAGAGTATTAAAAATATCATGGACTGATAGAATTACAAATAAAGAAGTATAATACTGGAGAGGGTTGGTAAAGAAACAAAACTAATCACCACTATACAAACCAGAAAACAGGAATACCTAGTCCAAGTGCTGAGGGGACTCAAATATTAAATTTTTGGGACTCATAATGCAGAGAAATATTCAAGGAAGAAGATCTGTTGACCGAAGGCAGCACTCATGGTTAAAGAATCTATGTGATTGATATCAATGCAGATTGATTGATTTATTTAGAGCAGCAAGTTCAAAAAGAAAAATAGCCATTATGATTGCCAACCTCCGTGGGGAGGCGGCACTCTAAGAAGAAGAATATATACCATAATATAGAGCATATGTTACGTAGTCAAGTAATACAAAAATAGCTAAGTTGTAGGTTTTTGAAAGGAGTAGGAGACAAAGACCGAAGAAGACTTGATGAGCAACACAGGTAACAAACATTTGTGAAGACGATTGATATTGTAATGAACCATGATTAAAGACGATTGCAAAATGTGTTATTCTATTTTATGGGGAGTATTTTAAAAAGCAATAAATCCTATAAAAGGAATACTTACGGAATTTATGACGTAGCAAGTTGTATACGATATCGTTAACAAAAAACTTCCCAAAATATAGACAATAATCATTGTGCAACTAAATTAAATTTAAACTAAATTCTCAAATGCTTTGTCGTTTATACCAAAGGTGTTAATTTGAAAGGTGGGAATTCGATTAAAAACTTATTTATAATTTTAATACAAAACAGAAGTAATAATGGAAAAAAAATGTTTTATGACATAATTTAGAATGAGATAATTTAATATAACTTAACAATCTCTACCAGCTAAAATTAAAAACATTGTGTTCTTATTATAATTTTTATAATTTTCTTTATCATAAAATTTTAATGTACCAACAGCAATTAATAATACATACACGTGATAATAAACTGTCTAATATAAAATAGAAACAAATGATATATATATATATATATATATATATATATATATATATATATATATATATATATATATATAATGTGTATGTGTATAGCCTAAATTGTCCACTACTGAACTTATGTTTCCATAAGTTCTTGCCACTTCTGTCTATCTTGTATTATTCTTTTTAACCAGATTTTTTATCCTTCAAGATGCCGACACAGAGAGTGGTTCCTTATTCAAAGTAGGCATAAAATCTAAAACCTCCATTGACTTATTATTTAATAAGCAAATTTGGCCACCTGGTGTAAACATTAAATGGTTAGCAGAATCTTCATATTCCAAACCAACGCCTTCATCGGAATATGAAGCTGATATAAGTCCGAACCAAAGAAAGATATTTGTTTTGTAAGTCCAAAGACTTACAAAACAAATATGATAACTTCAATCTCCACAAGAAAGTTAAATAAATAGCTAGGGTAGCAAAACGAAAAACCTCAAGTATACTATTGGACAAACAAGGAAACATTTTAGTGGAGACGGAACAAAAATTAATAAGATGGAAAGAATATATAGAGGAATTATTCCATGACCAAAGACAGGAAAATATATATGAAGATAATCAGAGTAAAGACAGAAAGTCAGAAGTTATGAATGCAGTAAAGTCCATGAAAAATAATAAAGCTGCTGGTCCAGATGAATTACCAAGTAAATTGCCAATACTGGCCAATGAAAAAAACATAGATCTTTTAGTCCAACTACTAAACACAATCTATTCCACAGAAGTCATTCCACGTGAAATTGTTCATAGCAGCTGCCTCGAAGGTCAGAATAGCCATGATTATTGCAGATAATATCGTCTTATCGTATCGTATTATCGATATTATCGTATATCGTATTAATATATCGTCGCAGAGATAGCACTTAAAGAAGAAGATGAGTCCGAAGAACATCAGAAGCCCCGTTTGGTTTAAAAATCCAATTCCCATTATAAGCAACAACAAAAGTGACGTGGAAAATACAAAAATAATCACAGACAAGCAGATCATCGAAATTTTCAAGTCTATGAATGCTGTTTATTCTCATGTTAACTTCAATAAGAAGGATACTTTGGAACCATCAATAAATCTGGATCATTTGACCCCACCAAGAGTTAGATTAACCAATAACTTGAACAGTCGAAATCTTCTAGCAAGATTAAGCAGATCGAATATCTTGAAAGCCATTAAACTGCATCTTGCTTTTTTACACGACCAACGTGATTCAGTATATTATGAAGGATTCACCAACACATGCATTAAACTCTGTTTGGCTTCCGAAGGACTTCCCACTAAGACTAAGAATTTACGAAAAATCCTCCTAGAATTGAACGATGCCTACGGAATTGGTCCAACTAAGGTGGAAGCTGATCTTGCTGCTATTAGATCCTTTTACACTTCGGAAATAATTATTCACCTACAAAAATCAAAGGAAAGTCACCGAAACTACTAATCCGGTGGCACTCCAAAACGAAATTTTTAAATAATATGACATGTTCTGGGTGACTAGAAACCACAAATTATTATAGTGATGACAACTTTAGCATGGTTGTGATTAATATTCGTTCTATAAGATATTTGATGAAGATGAGATATTTTTGTTTCTGGAGGAATTAGGAATTAGGATAGTTGCTTGTGCTACCCAATTATCCTTGGTCAATATATTCGAATCGTATGGTTTCACAATGCACCTTAATTTTCCTACAAGAATTCCATTGGTAACGTTCCAACGAACATTCATTGGACGTCAATCTATGACGTGCCAACAAATATTCATTGGGTGCCAATTTGTAACCCTTCGAGGCTCAATTTGTAACATCCCAACGTTGAGCTGCTGTTGTCAACCTGTAACCGCAAACCCTAGTTTGCTGCTACAACCTGACTAACATTACTAACAACGTTGGAGTGACAAATCGTTTCTCGTTGGGACCAATTTTTAACGTCATAACCCCTAATGTATCAATTACAAAATTGCTATATTAGACGTTATACGAAACACTCCCTGGCTAGCTCACTCAGGACGTGAATACGGCCTACTCTGGAGCAACACACACAAACAAGTAAAAAGAAGAAACAATACACAGTTAAATTAACACATGTTTATTGAAATATAAAAAAAACAGAAAAATAAATGTTGTATCGTATTGAATTTAAATAAAAATTATTCGACTTCTTGCTACAGTGTTACATTAGGTATATGAAAGAACCATTTTTGTCACCAAATCCTAAGTTTTATCCTGGTCTTTTCTGCTCTGGTTGTTAGCAAGCCATGTTGGTAGTTTTGGATTTCCTTGTCTCGGAGTCAACTCTCCTATTGGAATAATGGTTCCATTCTCAGGCCGGTTGGTCTTCTGGATGGTAATAAAATTTGACCCGCACCTGAGAAATGTATCCCGGAGGTTGACTAAAATGAAGAAAAACACACCTTGCTTTAGAAAATGGTGAAACCAAAATGAGAGACCTTGCTTGGGAGATGAATAAGGTGACCAATCAAATTTAACAAAATTTTATCATTATTCACCCAAGCAAGTCGAGAAACAATTCTTATTTATGTGCTTATCACAGGCAAATAAGTAAAAGTAAGGATATATATAACTTTAATGCAAATGGTAATTACTTTTTTTTTTAAACTGAAATATTCTAATATTAATTAAAAAAAATGACAAGATATATTTATTGAAAAGCTAGATAATTTAGAAACATTGCTATATAAAAATGGTAGTTTGTCAAAAGTTAATTATTATTAAAATCAAAAGATATTATGGATTTAAAATTCATATTTAAAACTATAAAAATATTCGTAAAACTTTTACACACTATATTAAAGAAACTATATATTTTTTATCGCTAGTTTTTTATATAAAATAAAAAACAAGAAATCCACAAAATATGTACCTACTTACATGTCATTCACAAATAATGAGCTTAGAATTTTTAAACTTAAAATTATAAAAAGATTTTTATACAACAGGTGGAATTAGGAAATCGATAAAATATATTATACACTTACCTCCAAATCTGGAGACGACACAACAATTGATTATTCTACTCTTAGAGAAGTCATGAAGAAAATCGACATTTTTAGAAAATAGAAGTCTTTATATCGACTTTTGTATCGAATGGGAAGGAGCAATGTCGACAAAGAATAAAGATGGGACCTCTCGTTCCAAAGTAACAGAAATAGAGATGAAAATAAAATTCACTCTTTAGAAACTTGAGTAAAAGATAAAAATGATGATTATTAAGAAAATAGGAAAGGTAGATACTAAAATATATATATAAAGAAGATAGATTTGGACGCCAACTGGTTTTTATACCAAATACCAGTAAAAATGAAAAGAGAATAATGAATCAATTAAGTAACGACATAATTCTGATACAATCTATATCCGAGAAAATATATAGAAAAATAAGAGATACAATGGAGGATATAGAAGAATATGAATTATGACAGAAAATATGGAAATTGGAGAATATAATTAACGAAATATATTTACATAAGAAAGAAAGCAGGCAATGTAGCAGTTATAACGCTACAACAACATCTACCATAATTGATTGTATTCTCTTAGATTTCTCACCACTTGATGTAGGTTAGATCACATCGTCTCTGACCATGAAACAATATATACCAAGTTTAACACTTTTAATAAATAATCCTCCAAAACCCAACGTTTAGGTAGGATTTTTTAACTTAAGATGTTAACTTAAAAAAATAGAATTTCCATTAACCGTAAAAAAACGTTTATGTTAGATCATTAAACAGTCAAAGAAAAATATTTCCTTCCCTGGCCATTCGTATCCATAAAAATTTTCAATCTGACAGAAACAACAACTTTTTTCCATGAGCATTTCATTGCCAAATAAAAGCTTTTTAAGGGTTCGGGACACCCATATTTCTTCGGGCGATAGCGCCGTTTTGTTACTATGAAAAAGGTTACGTAATCCTTTTTCTTTCCTACGTTAGTTTCTTTTAATTATCTGAGTTATAGACCAACGTTGCCACATTTAATAAAGAGTTCAATTCAATTTATGAATTTTAATAGGTGATGCAATATTGGAGTATACTTAAATTTTGCTGGTTTGTATTAATATATTATATGTCTAAAGACGATGAGCACCACAGTTTTCACTTTATTGAATACTTAATTATAAACGTGGGATCAAACTGTTCCAGGCCCGTTTGTATAAAACTAATAAACTAGTAGTATATATATATATATATATATATATATATATATATATATATTGTTATGCTATTTAAATTGTATTATATTGCTTATTTAGAAAAAATCCTGTCTATATTTATTAAATGATCTAATCTCCAATTAATCACAATAAATCAGCATTAATTAATTACAATCTCAGGCTATTTAACTTGTACTATTTACCTTTGATCGTGGATTCAAAATATTTTCCAATTGGCTTCCTAATTTTGATAGGTAATATGACCTGAATAAAATACATAGAATTTCAACTGAACTATATGTGAGATGTCCTTTATTTTCATGATACAAATACAAACAGATAAGATACCGCGCATGTGGGCGTGGCTTATGCATGACTTTTGTGACGTCAACTTGTGCTAAATTTCGCCATATTGTGTTTTGACGTTTATGTACATTTACGGTTCATAGCCAATAATTAATAAAATAATATTTTAAAAGTGTTACAAGGATTTAAATTTTTCC